TGGCCAGAACTCTCGTTTGTTAGCATTAACAGTTAAAAATTTTTATGTTAAATTAAAATTTTTTCATTTTGCATCTATTATTAATATTGTATATCCATAGCTGTCTGAGTAGAAAGCGATTTCCCATAACCTTATTATCTAGACTTGCTTCTTTTTCTTTTCAATCTGAAAAATTTTTGGATGTGCTTTGGTAGGCTGCCTTGCTTGATGTCTCTCAGAAATCTATGACATATTGCTTTCATGGTAGCAGGGTGAGGAAAATGACCTCATTTCCAGATAGACTCAGCTCTCTTCCTTTATCTTACTTGATGTTTCAGGGTGTGATAGTGGTAGAGAGTTGATATTGGTGGCAGTGACAGGAATGACAGCACTTTTTACCACTTGCTGGTGGAAGTAGAAAGCTGTCATGTTGGTGGTTACCAGAGGGGAAGGGGAGAGGGAGGAGGGCGAAAGGGATAATTCAGCACATGTGTGTGGTGATGGGTTGTAATTGGTATTTGAGTGGTGAACATGATGTAATCTATGCAGAAATAGAAGTATAATGATGTACACCTGAAATTTATACAATGTTATAAACCAATGTTACTGCAATAAACAAAAAATTAAAAAAATAAATAAAAAAAAGAAACCCATCTAATATATAAAAGCCAGGGGGAAAAAAAAGAAAAAAAGAAAGCTGTCATGCTTGAAAGCCGTGGATACAGTTTATAGAGGTCTGTAAAAATTGTGTGAATAGAAGGGTAGAGATACTTAGGATTATTTTTGCATGTTATTTTATCATGAGCAATGAGAGAAATATTATTGTGTTTAAGTTTGCTCATCTCTTTCTCCTGCAAAAATGAATATTCTTTTAAAGGATAATAGCTTTCATATTAGTATTGAGCACAATTTCCCATGTATTTCTATATCTGTATATCACTCTGTTCCAAACTTTTGTGAATTATTGTAATATTCTAATATTTATTCTACGTCTTATGTTGCAGTATATATTATATTATTAATCTGTCCAGTCTATCAACTGGAGTTTCTTTTTAGAAAAATTCTTTTCATTGTTTTGAATGCTTTTTAGAAAAAGTCTTCAAATTACTTTCCTTCTGTGAGCCCTAACCCTACAATTCTGTGTTCTCTTGGTATTTCTGTAAGAGCTGAGCATCTCTGAGTATTTTAGATTTTTTTCCTGCCTTACCTAGGTTTAATTATCTCCTTATTTTTCTCTTTTATAATATTATCTAAAATCCTTTTTTCCCTACCATTTATTACTAGTCATCTCATGTTTAGCTTTGAGTTCACTGCAGTCCCATAGGAGGCTTACATTCAGAAGGAGTACGTACAAGTGTCCACTTCTGAGATGTGAAGTACAAGTGTCCACCTCTGAGATGTGAAGAAAACAGGTTCCAAAAGTTTCCTTTAGTTATTTTATTTCTCATATTATTTAATGGAAAGAAAGAAAAGAAATATATTATTTTTGGGTTTTCCCTTGCTTCTTCCCTCCATTTAGAAAAATAACCTGCTTCAAAGTTTGCCAAGTTACCTTTCTTACCTTTTTCAATGATCTTTAAGTGTACCTTGAAGCTATTTATAATAGAAAAAGGTTTAAGTATTTGATATTTTATCAATATTATTTTTTAGAAATATTGCTATGTTTTTTAATTTTTAAAAACTTTTTATGCAGCCATTAACAAAGAATGAAGGAGATATATATATAATGAGTTGGATGGATATTCATAATGAATTATTAGGGAGAAAAAGCAAAGGATGATATTTATGTTTTTTACTTTCTATACCTTGGCATTTTTCCATTAAGTGTTTATAATTTTTTATAAGTAAAAAAAGTACTGAAGAAGAAAATATGTATTCATTGGAAAAAGTGAATAAACCAATATGCAAAATATAAAGTACATAATTTAAAGTATTAGTTTGAAATTTTCCTCTAGAATAGTTTTTAACAACTAGAACATTCTTGAATCATGTTATTTATTTTACTTAATTGAATTTTCTGCTTTGCCAGAAATTCTTTTTGCCGTTGGTAGCCATGTACTTTATACAAAGCATAATTAAAAAGTTCTTAGATCATTGAGGATAATCTAGTTTCTTATGGTCTTCCTTTTTAATTCTTCAACCTCATACACCAGTTGTCTTTCTAGTCAGTTGGCTTACCCTGTTGATTCTGCCTTCACATTGCCTGTCACGTCTATAAACTGCTTTGCAGAGCTACTGCCAGCACTTTTTGCCAAGCCTTTTATTACCTATCAAGGTGATGGCAACAGCTTCCCATTTCTGTGTCTTACCCAATCAACAGTTTGGTTTCTCAGCTTCCCATCTTCTGTGTCTTACCCAATCAACTCTTTCTACATACTGCTGTTTTATTATTATTTTTTTTGTAGCTCATTTCTCATTGTATTATTCCCCTGCTCAGATTTCTCTGCTGGCATTTAAGGCCTTCTGTCTTTTGGCCCCAATTTTTACTTATCAGATGAACTTCTCACTACTGTAATACTTTTCTTCTAAAGAGAACAATTTACTTTGCAGAATATGCTTCAGTAACTTCCTCAACAATGCTTTTGTTTATATTGTTCTTAAATCCAACATAATTACTTTCTTCTTAAGTCTGTTAAGAACTTTTTACTTTTTTTTTTATAGCACTTACCACATTCTGCCTTTTTTTCTAGAGATTGCCATACTTTTTAATACCTTGATTCCAGATTTTAAGCTCTGAGGGTAATGACTCTATTCCATGTGAATATCTGCCATATGAGTTATCTGCCATAATGCTTTCTACATTGTAAGAATTCAAATGTTAATTGAATTCCAAAGCTTACTTAAATGTACAGTCATAGTCTTGAAATTACCATGTTGAATAAAGACCTACTAAGCACCTGTTTTCTTATACTTTTAGATTTTCACCTTTAAATGTAATCTCAGTTAATTGAGGAGTTTGATATTTAATGCCCAGAGAACTGAGATTTTGCTGTAATTTTATTTGGGGGATTAAAAAATAGACACATACCTAAAAATTGACTTACTATGGCTGAGAAATACAGAATCATTATGAAGAGCATTTTTTAAAAGCATAATGGTAAATAATTTAATTTTTGTAATAGGTTGAACATCTGTTGGGTACAAGTTGGTAGAATAATAACTTCCTTAAATTAGCAAACAAAACAAAAGATAAAATAACAGTTCCATAACTTGAGTTCATCTTTGATTAGTTTTTAAAATAATAGTTCTTATTTCTATAGTTTTGAAGGATTAACCCAGTTAACTATATAGAAATTGATATCTATGTCTGTGATTTGTGGCATATGGGTAGAAACATATAATTTTAAGAAGGATTTCATATTGAGCTTACCTTTGCATTTAAAATTTTCATTCTAACATGAAAAATTAGCATTAATCCTATTTTTGTAAAATTATTTGAAATAAAGTGAAAAATTTACATGTTATGGTGAAGGTCATCATGAGGAAAAAAAAATTCACCTTTTCATAGAACAAACATTTAATTTAAAAAACTGGTCTAAGCTTTTCATTCTCTCATTTAAGCTGAGGTCAGTAATTGCAAACGTTTGTGACTTGTTTTTAAAAGCTAAACTTACATATTACGTACTATTTAACTTATTAAAAAGCTATTAGAAGTTCTCTGGTAAGAATGAATTTTCTTTATTATAAATCAGTTGGTACATTTTATATGAAAGATCATTACAGATAAGCAAAAGTGTTTGTTAATTGTTCCCATTTCAACTGTAGAAATAATAACAGTTTATAGGGCAATATTATAATATTTGCCATTTAGTTCTTGTTTTGTTAGATTTCTTATTACAGAGAACAAGAGATCATGAAAGCAGTTTAGGTAAATATATTAGAAAAACGTTTTTTAACTGAGTTCTTTGGCATGCTTTATAGACTTGAAGATTAAAAATATTTAAAACACAAAGGGTTTTCTCTTAATATGAAAACTCTAAAAATAGTCTAATTTTTATTAGCTTATAAAACTAAATATTAAAATTTTAATTTATGCTCAGAAGGCCAAGTATAAAATTAGTTTAAAATAATTTTTAATATGTTAGGAGATATTTTGTGCCAAATATATTTATTGAATGAAAAGTTTTTTAATATCTTTATCTATGAAGTCTTAATTTCTCTTCAGGGTTTCAAAAAATGTCTTGCTTATGGTACATTTTGTCAAAGGGAAGCATTTCTTTAATTCCATAAAGGAGTGGAAAGTAAGTCAGAAGGAAACGGTGCCTTTGCCAAGATTTGACATTATGTTAATATTGTTGTCAGAAATAAACCACTATTAAATTTGCCATGTAAACTCAGTGAATTCAAGCTATTGCATGGTGCTCATTTCCCCAAGGATTAGGGTATTCAGTAAACTAGATTGGATGAATCTCATTTATTTACATAAAACTGTTATATTATTGAATTGTTTGACACAAAAAGTTTTTTATTTAAAAATGAGTTGCTACTTGATTTAGTGAATATGGTGTTAAAAAAAAAGAATAAAAATTGTCCAGTTAACCCAGTTATAGGGTAGTATTTGCCTACTTTAACTTATTGCTATTGTTCTGATACAGTGATAATTAGCACTCATTGGTAGATTATTAGATCATAACAATTGGAAAATATTTGATTAATATGAGATTCCCAAAGCTGATATCTATAGTTAGGATTACTAAATTCATAGTTTTTAAACATGAATTGAGGATTGGAGACAAAATGCTTAAAGTTAAGTGATGTAGAGTAAAAAAAATTGATAAGATTTATTGCCGCTTTAATGATTTTCAAGGTGGAAATAGAACTACTGTATTTTGAAACATTTGCGAGCAATGATAGTGTAGAAACATTGTGTAAATTCAGTTTTTCTAAAGTTGCTACGTCTCTAAAATACATAGCAGTAGTTGGCTTTGTTAAGCTTTTCTACAATGATATAAGGTCTTTTTTCTTCCTTGTATTCAGATTTTAATAGTTAACTTCTATTATACAAAAAAGCCAGTTTGAAAAATGTTAGCAAGTCAGTTTATTTTAATGCACTGGTTTGTACCACTATACAGTATTAGTCCAGAGCATTAGGCTTAGACTCAAGCAAAGTGGGGAAGGAAGAAAGAGGCTGGTGCTTTAGTTTTCTTCCTTCCTTTTATTGTCAGTTCATTTGTATATTATAGGCATAGTGCCCTTGATAGTAGAAAATCAATCTCTTTTTCATAACAGACTTGAATTTCAAAGTTTTCCTATCTTGGTGTGCATATACGGAGTTGTTTGTTTTTTTGGTTCTTGAATTTTAAAATCCTGGTTAATCCTACAATTTTCTACATTCAAAAAAGGATAAAGTTTCATACATAGTTCATTATTTTTGATGCATTAAATATTATAGCAAGTAGACTATGCCAGAAAACATGACATAATTGTACAGAAAATCCTGAATTATTTGGATTGTTTGTAGCCCATAATTTTAGTTCTTATGTCAAAATGCTATTCCGGTTGTCATCATATAAATATATCTATCTATAATTTGTGGCTTAGAAACAATACACTTTATAAAAAAAAAACAGCAAGGATTCCTGTGTCAGTTACATTTTAAAGTTGTACACTGTTTTAAGGCTATGTATTTATTCTTTAGAAAACATGACTTACATGAGTATCTTCTGATGGACATAATATTGACAAAATATACATATGATGTTACTTTAACAAACTGCCATGCAACAAATACATTAAGTAATGAAGAAAGAGAATATATATGACCTAATCTAATCTTGACATTTACATTGAAAATTTACAACATAACCAATACTTAAAATGTTTTTTCTTATATTTGGCAGTAATTTTATTTTTTACAGTTTAAATTTAAAACTTCTGAATGTGAGTTTGGTGAAACTTAGACATTCTCCTAGTCTGTGACAACCTGAGGTACTAAACATTTTTCTCTTATTTCACTATCTTCAAAGGTAATTTTTTTATTTCTCTTAGGATCTATCCAAGAGTTGTGTATTACGGCATTATTAGGCATGGGGTCAGCTTCCACTATGGAAACAACTCGCTTTTTCATTTTACTTTTCAAGACCTTTTGAAATTTTTGTCTAGTGAATGCATATAATAGAGGGTGGAATATAGTTGTTCCATAAGCCATGACTAGAAAACACAACCTTAATTTTACTAAAAGGTCACTTGGGCCTAAACATAAAATGGTGGTATTTAAAACAGAAATTGGTGTCCAGCAGAGAAGAAATGTAGAAATAATCAATAAAGACATTCTGAAGACTCTTTTTTGCCTTTCTCGTCGTTCACGGTGTCGTTTCACAGCTCGCCGGAGGGCAATTATTACAGAGACTGAAGTTCTTACACCAAAGACTACATTTCTCCCACCACTGCTTTGTGACATGTCTGTAGTCTCATGTTGCGTGGTTAGAGAAATTGTCTTTTTCTTTCTTGCTTTCTTCTTCTGCCCTGTTGAAAATCTTGTGCCTATTCGAATATTAAGAGCCTGAAGTATTTTGGTGTATGTGATTAACATTACTATGACAGTGAAAAAGAATATTGGGATCTGTACTAGCAGATGATAATACATTCCCAGTTCAGTGTAGTATTCATTTGTACTGACACACAAAAGTGTCTTGTTCTCCCATGTATTTCCACTTTGAAGACTGAAAAAATTTACCTCAATAAAGGGAATCAGGAAAGAGAAAAATGAAAAAATCCAAATGGATATCATTAGCATTACAGCTCTGCCCATTGTCAGAATTCGGTTTGCAGGTTTTACAGAGATGTCATATCTGTCCAAAGTGATAGCAAAGACGTTGATTGCTGTTGAGACACTTGCAAAAGATACACAGGCCTCATGGAAACAGCAGATGAGAGCAGTGTTACTCTCCAGTGAAAGCAGAAGGATAACTATAGTTAGAGGAATACATCCCACACAAATTATTACATCAAGTACGTGAAGATTCATTGTAATAATGTTACTGACAGAGTTGATTAAGTTGGATTTCATGCAGTAAAGTACCAACACGGTGAGGTTGCTGCCAAGTCCCAACACAATTTCTAACATAAGAAATCCGGTGAGAGACACTTGAAAGCTTAATGGATATGATAGTGGTTGGTACATATTGGTGTTGATGTCATCAATGTCATCTTGCACTGTAATGTTAGATTCAGACTGCATGTTGATTTCCAGAATGAGAGAAAAACACATTCTTTTGGAGCAGTTGGCTTTTTCCCTAGAAAGTGAAATAGAATAAACTATTTGATATTTGGCAATTTAAATGATGTATAAAACGTATTCTTTGTAAAAAATCTTTTTATTGTGTACTTCGTTAATTTTTAAGTTTGTAAACTGTTAATGGAAAATGTAGAATTAGGAAACGTCAAGCTTGCATTGTTTTGATGTAAAAGGAAATTAGGCTCTCCCGTTGAAGAAATAACTATATAGGCATTACTCCTATATAGTTCAAAATTATTTGAAGGGCTAAAAAAGGTTTTCCTTATCTGTTTTCAAGCTTATTGACATTCAGTATATTTTTTGTATAATAAAACTACCAAGTATGCAAAACTAATTTTTATTTTAAGATTTCATTTTAAAATGTTGTGAATAGGTGGGAAATAAATGCTATTTTAATTTGTTGTAGCATAATTAGTGTAGGTGTAATTATTCCCCTGAGATTTCAAATGAACAGGACAAGTGTTCATTTAAAATGATAAATAGCACAGAGTGTTAGTTTGTTTTAAACCATTTTGTACATGTTCTTGGTGAAATTTGTATTTAGAAGTCAGCAGTGTGCTTGGGGATATTTGGAGTTATTTCCCACAGAAGTAGAGAAATGATAAATATTTCATATTTTGCAGTGAAAATGCTCAGTGAACTTTATAATGAGCAAACTTATGTTATAAAAACTGGAAGAAAAAGGACATCATGTTAAAGTAACAAAGTTTGGTAAAAGAGCACTGATCACTCCTATGAATGATTTATTTTGTGACCACACCCTCTCTTATCTTGTGGAAGGAGAAAATTGAAATTTAGTATCATATTAAATAGCCATTTTTGAAGTGGTTTAAAATAATATATCAGTTGATTTTATTTGTTTAAATAATTTTTAGTAAAAAATGTAATTTTAGGGAAAAGGAGTATCTGAAGCCTATTTTCTGAGGAATATTTTAAAGTTATACATTCCTTGTGAAACCTTTTGTATAAATCACCCACTGTATATAATTTTGAGGAAAATTAAAAAAAAACCAAACTCTTGCTAATTCATGCAAATCTGTATTTTAATATAGAGAGGTTTAGAGTAATTTATAAAAATAATGTCTGATTTTCTGGGCTAAAATGTCAGTAATCAGTGTACTCAGTTAAAATATAAAATCATACAACCAACTATATTTCACATTTCAAGTACAGCATTTTGACTGCAAAGTAGTAATCAAACATAAATTGTAAAAGCTACTAATTTTCAAAGTTCATATTAACCTTTCACATGATGTAACCTTTGACAAGTTTTAGAATATAATTTTATTTATGCATATTGTTTTAAGAGTAATATTTCAGAAACAAATGATAACATTATTAATTTCTTTCGAACTTGGCATAGAGTATTACTACAGGCATATATTCGAGTAAGTGAAGATCTTCGCTAACATTGAAATCCTATAAATTGGAAAATTTTAAGTGTGCCAGATTTTCTGAACTGACAGATTAAACATCAGGTCTTTTTCACATCAGTTAGATTTATAATTAAATAAAGCAGAAATGTCAAGTTAGACGATAATTAAGAAAAATGCATCTCCTCTAGAGCAAGCTTGTTTTCTTTTGTAAATGTTAAACAGTGTGGTGGGGTGCATGCATCTTCTGACCTACCTGTTTGCTGTTGCCTTATGAGCCTTTTGGCTCGCTATAGTTTTTCACAAATTGATACATGATGTCATTGACAGATTTGGACATGAATTTTTACCTGACAACAGTGAAGTAGCTGTGTTTTATTTCATGTCTTGTAGGAATTCTTTCAGTTTCTCTCCAATACTTCAACTGCATGAATTGTAAGATTTAGTTGGCTGATGGATTTCTAAAGACCAGTACGAAATATTTGTGTTTGTTTTGTCTTAAAAAGTCACGACCAACAGAAACTTCCTCAAATGATAAGAATTATATTTCCCTTTGAGGGCTTGTATGATGGTGTCTCTTTATTTTCCAGAACATAATGATAACAAAAGAGGAAACATAAGGTTTCTAGCTTCCAAAATATATTTAGACATCCTTTTGTTACAAATCTGTCTGTTTCTATAGCAGTCCTCATTAGTTTGAAATGATTTCTTGATCACATAACTTGCTTTATATTATAAATCCGGTCCACGTTCTTTTGATAAAAGCCATCTGGTATTTAATCTGGTTTGTTCTCATTAGAACAGGATACATAATTGGTCATAAAACTCAGATGGAAAAATCCTTTAATAATATCAATTGATACGAATATCTGAATATTTAGTGCAGAAAATACTTGCTAAAGCTCCGTTTAGCTTGCTGGTAATGTATAGCATTCTCCTTTTGGCAATCCTTGTTTCATTGTTTCTTCAAGAATCAGTGGCTCCACGATTCTGGGATGTTAAAGTATAAACTCCTCCTTTAAAAATGCTCACCATTTTGTTTTCAGGCTTTTACAGTTATATTGTTTTTCTTTTTTTGTGGCTATTTCATATAGCATCTTCTTAGGATGATTACTGTCGATGTGTTATATCCCAGCAGTAATTTAGACCTATATTCTCTGGTTTTAACTCCTTAATGTCTTAAAATCATGTGTTACAAAAATATCCTGCAGTTTGTGGTTCAGACAGCTAGGGAGATGCTCAGTCAGATGCATTCTTCATATTTTCAGTTGTAAATACTGAATTAGTTGCTGTGGGCCCTTGTGAAAAAGAAAAAAAAAAATGGTTAAGAAATAGGGTTCCTAATAATTTCCAATTAATTGAAAGTTACTTTGGTTTTGTTTATTTTAACACCATGCACAGTAAGCAAACTGCATTATTAAAGCCAGAGCTTATGTATAAATTTAAGGGTTTCTTTAAATAAAATATTCTCTTTTCTGAGCAAAAATTGTAAATATTATGTTATTTAATACCAGAGTTAACATTACAAACATAATCATGAAAGAAAAGCTGCATTTATAAAACTAATTTCTGCTCTCATTTTAGGAGCTAACCTGTATTTTCAGAGATTATGAGCAATTAGCATACACTAAACATACTGTCATTCCCTCTTTATGATAAATTTAACAATATTTCCTTCTGTAAAATACTGTAGCTTGCTTATTAGCACATGGTTTGAATTTTAACTGATTAAAACAGATTCCATGATAAGATATAAATTTTCATAGATATTCATGTAGTTAAAATGTACAAGGTAATGCAAAATGTAACTGCAAATTAAATAATTTTCAGTGAACATGCCCAGTAATAAACTTAACCTGAAATTGAGTAATAAATAATAGCTAAATTATAAACCTGATTCTTTTAAGAAATACAAGCATTATTTGAACACTTGAGAAAAACTGTACTGATGACATTAAGAATATTTAGTATGTCTGAAGTGACTTAAAAGCTGATGTCTTCATAGTGAATCAACAAAGAATATTCTTTGTATTTAACGTTACATCCCAAAATATTACATTTAAAATATATCATGTCTTAAAAGAAATAGATCTAAAAATACATGTTTAGCAATAGTAGAATTAAGCAAATAAACTCTTAAAATTTAGGCTGAAATTTTTCAAAGTAATTTTACCCCACTATGCAGGTTCACAAGCAGCTGGATACTATAATAAGGAACACATCTTACCTCCACTAAAGATTTGATAAATTCTTGATGTAGTTGAAGCGTTTCCAGTTTTGATGGATTCATTTTGTTCACTTGTTAGTAGAGGACGGGGGGAAGAGGGTCATAAACATCTCTTCGAAAAAGACCTTAATGAAAATATGTGTCTGTACTGTGCCATTGTTTCAGCAGTACTGCTAATGTATGGAACATGTAGTGCTGCTTAGAGCCTGCTGCAGTCTCTCACTCTTCCTACTGTGGAATCAATAAGAATCTGAAAATACGTAATGAAAGTAATTTAACATACTGAAGGCTTCTTGTCTCCAGAGACAACATTTAGATTCAGTCTTTCTAAAAAGGAACGGCACTGCTTTTCAGAGCAAAGTCTGTTCTGGGCAGCTTTTGCAGAATGACAGCCTACCTTGTCGCTTCGTTCCACTGCAGAGAGATGCAGTGCATTCACTAATTTTGATTGGTCAGTTGTATTGGGCTTAAACTGTGCTTCATATGTACAGCAGGGATTTTTTTCCCCTCACTGTTTTATATAAGGGTGCTTTTTAAAAATGCTATATTTATAAGTGGTTGTATGTTGCTCTTAAATAGAATATGAGTAAATTACTCTTTTAAGAATGTATATTGTATTCTGGTTTGCTGTTCACTTATGCTAAACATTAAAAAATGCAGGGAGGTGGAGGGGATCAAGAAAAAATTACATATTCTTTTTAAAGCCTGGATAATTGCACTTGAGAATATTTTCGTGGTATATATGTTTTTGGTTGAGAGTCTTTGTTCTACAGATAGAAAGCCACTGCATCTTTACTGTGAACCACATTGAATTTCAACTAGTTTGTTTGTATTCAAGTCATCTTCTCTGTGTATTTCAAATTGTTGTGAACAACTCAAGGTGTTAAACGCTGTTCTGAGTGCAATATTCATTCATTCACATATTCATTCATTCGAAATATTAATCAGATTTATCTAAGGTGATTATACCCTAAAATGTTTTTTAAAAATTTCGTTGCTATTAGCATAGTCTCAGTGTATAAAGATTTAATCATGTGCATTACGAGGTTACTACTCAGTCTTCACCTTTGGTAAACCTTTTATTCAGTAGATATATACTGACCGTTTGTCATAATGTTTTATTTGAACTGGCTATTTCTATTTTTAACCTGGGCATTTTTAGTGGATTGCCATTCCTTAAATATTATATGTAACTATGTGCTAATGTTATTGGGTAAATATATTGGTAAAGGAAAAAGGAAGTTACATGTCTTCGTAAGTTATAAAACTAAATAATGTTAAGATAGATATGCTGTTGAAAGAATGAAAGTAATGGTATAAGTAATTAACTTAAAATATTGCTTTAAAATTAAATTTCTAGTAACTTTGGTTACCTAGATAATTTTCTGTTCTCAATATTGAGGAGAATGTTTCTAGACTTGAGCATATGAAGTGGCTGGATTCTATATCTGTTGACAAAATAGAAGACGTATTGCAATGACTGTTACTAGAATATTGATCATCACCTATTTCTATTATTTTAGGAATATTAGTGATCTTCACTTTTTAAAATGTATGCTAAGTTCTTAATTTGTAATTGGAATTATTCTTTTATAATTTTGAAAAGCAGTATACATTTTTATAATCTTCTGGTAGTGTTAAACTTCACAGGGGGCTAGCTGAGTAGTATATGAGTTTTGAATTGCATTTCTTTAGAAGTTGAGAGTAATGTGGTGGAAAATTTTGTTGTGAATTTCTAAAATTTTCTGCACAGCTTTGGGTGGCAAGGCTTTGGTAATGCTAAAAATTAAAATGTTGTGCTACTTTTCATGCATTTTGAATGCTGGAGAAAAGGATCTTGTTAGAATGCCAGCCATGTTGAAAGATAGCACGGGTGCACGCGTGCGCACGCACACAGAAACACACACACACACACACACACAGTATTATTTTAAGCTTAAAACTAAAACTAGAGAAAAGATATTAGCATCAGTTGAAACTTGGCGGTGGGAACAAGAAATTATTAACATACTGAAGTGCATATAGTGCTTTTCTGCCAAAGAGTTCAACTGTTTTCTTATATTTATCTTAAAAATATCCCCATGAAGTATAGGAAAGCAAGGCACAGAGAAGTTTAATGACTTGAAAAAGTCTAGGTAAGTTAGTAGCAGAGCCAGTGATAGAACTCTGCAAACCCCCTCTACCTATTGTTGGCCCCCTCTCTCTCTGGAAAATTCTGAAGGTACTTAGGACTTAGAATTGGATGATCTGGGTTCAGTCACTGTTTATTAGTTATATGACTTTTGGCAAGTCAAGCATACTCTGGATCACATTATAGCTTTGATTCTTTTTGTTGAAATATATTTTTGTGCTTTGTTTAAATCTCTCTGAAACAGTATTTCCAAGTTATATTCAGACTATTTTGAAAAAACAAATTCAGGGATCTCTGTAAGAAATAATGGCAGCAAAAAACTCAGGTCTGGACGTTGCTCTTTCTTCCCTGTGCAAGTGACTTGTGGTTAAAGATACATTAGATATTGCAAACAACATTTATTTTTAATTGCATACAATGTTTATATGGTTTTGTTTTTGAAAACCACCAATTCTTTTGGTGATTACAAGGTTCTCTGATTTCTTACCAGGATAATTCTAACTTCCTTTGTTTTTCACAAAGATGAAAATATCTAAACCACTGGATTGAGAATATATTATTTTCATGAAAAAAGTTAATATCAAATTACATATGTCAAAATTCACAAAGATCTTATTTTCATAGTAACACATTTTCACACTTGTGCATTTAATACATTATGTATTCATATAGGATACTAATTGTGAAAAATGCTACAATTGGTGATTTAAAATCAAATTTTATATGTTCTAAAATAGATTAATTATTAGTTAGTCAGTAGCCTGGGAGAGCAGTTTAACTTTCCTAATGATAATTAAATAACAGATATGAATCTAACCCCCAAATAGCTCTATTAAAATCTTTTTTCACTAGTTATGTTTTTTTTGGTTATTAATGTTTTGATTGCATAGGAATTTTAATTCCTAAAATTTCTGATATAGGAGTCTTTGATTTTTAATTTTATACATTTGCTTTCTTAAGTTTGGACAACTGTGGGTGTAGGAGAGTAATTTATTATTCACATTTACATTGTACTGTTCATATCAGATCATTCTTATCCAGCTTATGTCTAGTTCTGATGCTACATTTTTGATGATTGTGAATTTGTAAGTAAAAAAAATTCAGCTTTGTGAAATATTGGGATTAACCACAACTGAAAGTGCTTTGAAACTGTCTGCAAAAACAGTTTCTAATTGCTGAAAAATCATTTTTTAAATTGTCTTGCTTCAAGGGTGCTTTTTCAGTGAGTACTTAACATAGCTAACTTCCAACTCTTTCTGATACTGGAGCCCAAGGAAGAATGATATTTCAAAATGCTTTTTTATTTTTTTTGTGAGGAAGATCAGCCCTGAACTAACATCCATGCCAATCCTCCTCTTTTCTTTGCTGAGGAAGACTGGCCCTGGGCTAACATCCGCGCCCATCTTCCTCCACTTTATATGGGAGGCTGCCACAGCATGGCCTGACAAGCAGTGCATCGGTGCGTGCTTGGGATCCGAACCCAGGCTGCCAGCAGCGGAGCATGAGCGCTCGACCACCACGCCACAGGGCCGGCCCCAAGAATGGATATTTCGGTTTACAGCCAATGCAGAAATTTCATTTGGCTTCTCAACTTGAAACTTCTTTCACAACAAATGTTTTATCAGAAAAATAGAAATGAACCATCTGCTGAAACCTCCATCACGTGGGGGGTAGCCAAAGCAGTAGAGAGTCAATAATATTGGTGATTCGTTATCTATATAAGTGAATAATTGAAAACTGATTATAATTGGATAAAGTACATGGATCAGAATTATATACTATAACAGAAAAACTCCACAAAGTATTCTTCCTCATCCTTATCTACCTCACCTAAGTTGGGTATTTAAAATTTTTGACGTTTGTTTTTCACACTATGTATTTGTAGGTCATTTGCCAGCATCACATATATTATAAAAAATAAATAAATATATTTCTTCCCATTTTCTCATCCAAACCTAGATTTTGGACCCTGTGACTATTACTACTTTTAATCTCCATTTGTTATCCTGCTGTTGGCACATTGTCTTTGGGGCCTTGTCCTAATTATTACCATCCCTGCCCCCAATTTTCTGGTCGTTTTGACTGCTCTATATTCCAGTTTGTGTCCTTAAATATTATGGATTTTGTTGATATTTTTCTCTTATATTTTCATCAAAGAATCACACAGTCATGTTTGTAATTTTTCCATGTTGATTTCTCTTTTTTTCTGTTGCTTCATTTTCTTTGCGTAATTCTCCTATTGTAGGTTATTATGCAGAATCAAATTGATTTCTGTGTCCTGAATTCAAGTCAGTTGATGAACTAGATTATGTATTTAACAAAGCTGTGGCAAATCCTCTGTTCTGTTATGAGTCCTGTGTTCTGGTGGGAGATGTAGCTGAATGGCTGTCTATGAGCTAGTAGTCTATTATTGAAATTAGTTAGACACATAATGCTTTTGTAAGAAGGCTGCCATTCTTTGTATGTAGAGCCAAAGAAAGGTCGAGTTCCACTATAGACTCAGTAATTTCCATGGTACTACTTGGAGCATCCATTTGGGAAAATGGATGCATTTTAAGAGTTTACTAAGAATAGTTATCAGCTATGCTCACTGGTGACTTTATGGTACCAAAATAAAGCAATATATCTTCAGTTACTGCTACCTTCTAGTCACCATTTAGGAATAATACTATCTACAAAAAGTTCTGCTGTGATTTTGATTGATCTTGCGGAGGATTTATGGATCAATTTGGGGAGAATTTGACATCTTAACAATATTGAGTCTTCCAATTTCTGGACACAGCATCTCTATTATTTTTAGGTCTTCTTTGATTTATCAGTGTTTTATAGTATTTAGCTTATAGATCCTGCACATATTTTGTTAGATTTGTACCTCATTATTTCATTTCTTTAGTGCTATTGATGTAACACCTAATTTTTAAAACAAAATTCTAATTGTTTATTTTTAGTATATAGAAATACAATTGCTTTTGTATATTGACCTCATATCCTGCAACTTTACTAAACTCGTATATTAGTCTTGTGAATTCCATGATATTTTCTATATAGACAATTAATGTTGTCTGCAAATAGAGACAGTTTACTTCTTGAACTATGTGTGACTTTTGTTTCTTTTCTTGCCTTATTGTACTGCCTAGGACCTCTGGTATTAGATTTGATAGGAGTGTGTTGCGAGAAGCAATCTGCCACAGGACCTGAGCATCCCTAAATGTCCTAGGGCATGCTGGGTATTGCTGGGTATGCCAAGAATGCAA